CATGAAGTTTCTTGGGAATTTTGTTACAGATGACGTCCCCGGTGTTACCTGCTATTGCCCTCTGTTTGCCGTGAGTTTCCCCACGTTGCCCGCGAACCACCGGCAGGGAGGTCGAGGGTTGGATTTCAGTTCGCAGCTAGCTGGTGACGGTAAATAAGACAGAAATGGCCGTCTCATTGCCCCTTATCTTCCTCGATAAGGTTTTTCTGCAAAAACGACAGATAGCTAGGAAGATAAGGGGACAGTGACCAAGAATAGGCTTCAAGGGAGAGAGGAGGCAAACAAGCCTGGCATGTTTGTGCGAGCGGATATGAGACAGTCAGGTTCCAACTGTCACCTGTGAATGGTTCAGCAGAGTTGGGAATAATAAACGTCAACGACCAGGAGTACAGTAAGAAAAAAGTTGTTTTGTTTTATTTCGACTGGCAGTCCATAGCCTTCACTTTGCAGTAGAGCCAACTTTGAAAGCATGCCCAGTTTCTCCAGCTGAAGATGTATCATAATCAGAACAGACAGCACTATAGAGTGGGATATCCTTGATTGTGGCCAAGGTGTTGGTGAAACAAAGTAGTGGGATTTATTGAAGGGGGTGCGGTTATATGCAAAATGTAAACCCCACACCCTATCTGTTATTGCTCTCTGACTACGTCTCTGATAACGAATCCGCGACGGATATCGAAACGTCAGGCAAATAAAAGTATTGTCCCAGCGATCGAGTCGTCTTCTTCTGTAAACCCCACAATCACAATATTCGTATTATTTGCGCTCGAACATTCTGACAAAAAAGTGAAATCGAGAGTTTGGTGGCAACGATTCTGACGTTCTTAGTCAGTCGTACAGAGGAGCTGAATTATCTTTCATCCACCCTTCACTCTTTGTAGACATGTCTTATCTCTTATATTGCATGCTCTCTCTCTCTAGTGAACGATAAAATAGCTCAGCGAAGGGCAAGCAGTCAAGAGTTGTCGTTTACTCGGGGAGTTTTTAACAAAGAAAGCCTTCTAGTCGAATCAAGGTCGATTTAGAACGCGCAGCTGAATTAGGCAGTACAAGTAAAATGACTTACGTTGGACAGATCGATGATCCACTTTGAACGACAGGCAGCAGAGTGGAGTTGGTTTGTAAGAACCGAAGAGAAGCTCTTAAGGGCCGAGCTTCCAACTTCAACGGAAAGCCGAGAGATGAGATCACGCCAGAGGTTCTTGCCGTCTGCTGTTCTCGGTCGGCCGGCGGAAGGTTGTGGTGGTGGTTTGGTGGATGGCGGGGCATTAGGGGTGCCAGTGCTGACAACAATGGTGGATGGCGCTTCAAAGACGTGCGACTCTGTAAGGGCAATACCGCGGCGCTCCGAGGCGCTCTACAGGGGAATTACGAAAACCATTTGAGAATGAAAGTCGAACGACTGAATATATTCAGCACGAATGAAAGGAGAAGATAGTGGGAGGCGATTGAAAGCATAAGACTCCTTCGTTAAAAAGCGACCAGCGCAAAAAGGCCGAAGCAGATCACCCTGAGATCCGGAGGTTGTGATTTCTACTTAACAAATGTCGGTCTGGCTTTTTGTCATACAGGACAGTCAAAAAAATTGGATGTAAAAATGGGCTGGTTGGCACAAAAACAGAAGAGACGATACACACGAGTTACGTATACAAACAATGCTAGTGTAAAATAACAAAAAAACGTAAAAACTGGCGAAATGTTTGTCAAACTGCAGTGTACCCAATTTAAGCGATGTTATGTGAACGTATACATAAGAGTCTTAGGTACCTATGATGAAACCGACTAGGTGTAAGGTTCAGTCGATCAGTGGATTTGAGGAGAATAAGCTTACGCCTTTGAAATTTCTATTTTTCACATAAAAATTCCAACAATCAGAAACAATGTAAAGAAACTACGTTCGGGTGAATTTAGAAAGAGTCGCATCGTTCGCTGTGCTGCGGCATACGGAGATCAAGTCGGTGTTGAATGGCTCTACGGACTGGGACATAACAATCGCCTTGGGTAGGGTATTACACGATTCTAAGACACGATGAGAGAAAAAAAAACTTCCTAGCAAAGATGACAGCATAAGTAGGCAAGAATCTGAGCCCACCTAAATGTTGTACATTCGACCATCGAGAACTACTTGAAGAAAAATCAGTACAACGCAGACTAGCATACAACTCAGGATCTAAACCGAAACAGTGATCCGTTACCTTCCCCTCAAATACTAAAAGGGGAGCACAGCTCTTCAGTTAAAGTTGATGTTTATGAGTGATTCAGATACGCATTATTTTGAAAATATCACTCCAAAATTTCCAGCAGAAACGCCCTCCATTCACAAGTAATAAACTTAAGCGTACAAACTCACAACACCGGGAAATCAAAATCAATTCCTAATTGCCAATGACTGCAAATGTCAACATCACAGAAAAATTCGTCAAATTTGGGCCAAATTGGACAGTTTTCAAAGCGGCGCTAAAGTCATGCACTGATAATCACACTGTATGTCAAATAAAAAAGAGGGATGAAAATCAGTTCATAATGAGCGAGGTAGGCCAACTGACAATGGAAGCTTGTATGATTCCGAAACGTCAGAACGATAAACTTTTGGTTCCCGTGATCGCCTTACCTTCTCATATATATATATA